CACCCTGTAATCCATTTCTCATCGAGCACCAGAGCAATGTATGTCAGACCTGTGGGATTCTGTCACTACCCAGTTTTAAGTTCTCCAACGGCTTCCTATCACTCCTGTAATACAACTCCAAACTGTCACTATGGTCATTAGACCCTGACAGAACCTGGGGTTTAAACTCCTTGACTTTCCCTAAGCCCTTCTCATTTGGTCTTTCTGTTCCTTAAACGAGTTCCTGCCTCGGGGCTGTTGCACTTGCTCTCCTTACACATGGACAAATCTTCCCCTTAGCCTCCTTCCCATTAGTAAGGTCTCAACCCAAAGGCCAACCCTTCCTGACCGCAGTGGTCAAGCAGCCTTCCCAACCAACTGTTAACACAACCTTGTATTTCATCTTAATACCCCTTAATTTTTTCTAATCACTAATTTACATATCCACTGTCTATCTCCAATAGGCTCTAAGCTCTCTAAGTCCCAGAAATTCCAGGCTGGTCAGCTGGCTAAGCAAAATGAGTAGAGAGAGAAGAATAAGAACGTACAAGCAACAGAAAGCTAACGTCTTAGTACCGCCAGGTATTTCGTATATGCAGGAGCAGAGCGAGAGATCCAAGGGCTACAGTACACCATAATGATTTCCCATTACATCTTTAAAATGAAAACTCAAAAGGTTTCCAAATGTAATTAGTAAACTAGTAACCTAAATCACACATAATGTTATTTTAACCCACTACAGTGTATACAAGCGTTGTACAAAAAGTGCATTTTCCCATGAAATCATGGTTTCCCAACTGCCAGCCACATACATCAAAATTAGGGGTCACTTATCACCTACATCAGTTCATATGTCTGCATTTCAAATAAAGTACTTTTGCAATATCTCACCTAACGATCCTCTCTGCTTCTATACATGGAGATTTAACTTTATAAATGCTCAAAAATTATTCCAAAATATTTAGGTTGATACCTAAGAAAAAAAGTCTTATGGCTGTGGACAGAAATAAAAGAAAAAAGAGGAAAACGCAAGAGTAGCTCTAAGGATGCAAGGTGAACACCTTGTCTGCCTCCTGGGCCTTTTCTTCAACAGTCCGTGTTGTCGCCATCTGATGCTTCTCCTTCATGGATAAAATATCCTTGAAAAGATGGTCTCCTTTTCTCTATTGTTTTAAACAATAGACATAATCAACAAATAAGACAAGTACATCACGTCGACAGCAACACAAACATAAAACAATGTGTGGGTCAGCGGAACACACCAGATGAAGCAGCACATACAGGGAGGCCAAAATCTTAGCATGTCAGACACTGTTTCTTCAGAAAACGCAACCCTAGAGTCAACTGCTGAAATACAGACATTAATATCTTCAGGAAATCTAAAAATAAGCATATAAGTTGGATACAACTACATAAGACCCTACCATGGTGTTTTAAATCTTAGTATTTTCAGAAGCTGTTTTTTTCAGTTCAGCAATTACCTTTGCTCATCGGTTCTTAAAGAGGTATTTTCCTTTCACTGTCACAAACTTACGAATTTAAAGCAACAGCTTTGCTTTTAAAGAAAAGGTGAATAAAAATAGCATGAGACTATCTGAATCAAATGTCTACAATTTGGCAACGTTCAAGCCAGACTAGATGAAGTTTAAGGAGAGGCAAGGGGTGTAAGGAAAAGGGGAAAGATGACACTTTTTAAAACTGTGTATTAAATATAGTATAACCACTGTCTCCTCTAGTGTGATAAACAGAAAAGCCCATGGAAGTTCTTAGTTGCTAATAGGAGAGATTTTGGAGCATCAGAAAAGAACAGATGTCGATGGGAATGAATGGGGAAGTATTTTGAGAATATATTTAAAATCCATACTTTTATTGGTGGTGGGGAAAAGAAAACCATGGAAAGAAAAAGAATGAGTTCAAAGAGATGTTATGGTTGAAAATGCTTTAAAAACACTAGTCTACACTTCATTACTAAGATGTTTCAGTATTAAGTTGTATGGTATAACATTTTGCAAGTTTTCAACTAGGCTCATCAGTCTTGAAAGCTAAGTTTAACTTATTTACCTCACAGTAATTACCTTAAAATCTTCTAAATATGGTCTATAATGATTACTTAATTATTAACTAAATTTTCTTATTTCAGAAGCCAATATCTGAAAAGCTTACTAAACATCGCCATGTCAGTTTCTAAGTCATCGTATGTAACAATTCATTGCCACTAATTTGATTAAAATAATTATTCTGAAACTATTTCAAAAGTATTTTGAAACTCATACAATTTACCTAAGAACTAGGTCAGTATATAATTACATTGTTAATAAATATTTAGTATTTTAAAAAAATGTTAGCAATTACATTTAAAAAAACAAAAACTAAAAATTAAATGGTAACATTTTGTAGCTTCCTGCGAATCAACATAAGATTTAGCAAGCTGAGTTTTACTAAACAGCTGGAGTGAGACATACAGCCAAGAAACAGCTAGCGACATACCCCTTGTGTCTGTAGGGACAGAGGTGTGATACGTCGTTTTTCCCATTCATTAGGGCGCGGCTCAGGTGTGGATTCCATAAAATTGCGCTTGAGTTCACTAATGCTAGCCTGATGTTTCAGTATGTCCTCCTGGGCCTTATCCAGGTCCTAGCAATATGTAACGCAATAAAAGGGGGGAAAATCCAAAAGGAACAAAACCCAGTAGGACAAAAATAAAAAACAAAACCAAAAAAATAAGACAAAGCAAACTTATGAGTAAAAAAAAAACATATTAAAGCAAGAAAAATGCCAAGTCTCAAAAGCCATCTTTATTTGAAAATAAAGCCAATGTGTAATTTTTTGGATTCACATTTTAAAGGATTCTAATGTCTTCTCTGTTTAGAATTTTTAAAGGAATAACTATTTACATTATTAGAAGGAACTATATAGATGATGTATTACAGAACTGTACACTTGAAACCTATGTAACTTTACTAACCATTGTCACCCCAATAAACTTTAATTTAAAAAGAAGGAACTAATATTCAAAATGGCTAATAACCTTTCTTTCTAAACAGTTGAATTTGAAATGCAGCCTATGACTTTGTTCCTGTAAATTCATCTTTCTGATTAGGGCTACTACTCAAGTTGCATTCTGTGAACATAGTAAATCAAGTAAAAATAGAGAAAAGTGGACTGAGAAGCACATTTGGCCTGACGGGAAAGCCAGTCCAGGATTATCCACAAAAAAAAAAAAAAAAAAAAAAAAAAGAAAGGAAGGAAGGAAGGAAAGAAGAAAAAGAAAAAAGAAAAGGAAAGGAAAAAGAAAAAAAAAAGAGGGGGGTGTGTGGAAACCAAGGATTGACTTTTTTCAGGCAATTCCAGCAGTGGCTTTTAATCCTTAAGGAATAAAAATCACAGCTTCCGGAGGCTGCTTGTATGTGACCTCTCTATAAAATAAGTGAACCTCACCCTTATTTCACGTACTTGCCAAGCACAAATGTGGGGTCCTGCCATGCCACCTACCGAGTGGCCCTTCTACAGACAAAGATGCAAGAAAAGCTACCAGGTTGATTTTCATTGGAGTAGGCCCTAATATGTGGCATCTGGGAATTGAAGCTCATTATTGCTCAGGAAATGGTTTTAACTGAATTTTAAATATTTTCTTACATTTCAAAAATCATGGGGGCTTGGCTACCTGTGGGTTATAGCTTTCATCCCACTCCCAGAGGAACAGGTCATGCATCTGGTAAAATTAGATATTCCATATTCATGCACAAGCATAGTAGCTCATCTATGAGCTTCTATAGCCATTTGCAAAAACTCATTAAAATCTAAAATTCTTTGCATGGCATGAAAAAATGACTGTGGCTTGAGATCAGGCACATTTCTTGTATTTGTTCAAAGCGATGTTATGTATTACACTTCAGAGCATTTTAGTAAGTTATGCAAAAATACATTTCCAACAAATATCCAAGCTGCCAAAAGCAACCAAACAGATTAGTCAGATTACTGAGAGCTGCAGTTCTCCACTGAATACACTGCCATGTGCTACCCTAAAATAGGGGGGCAAAAAAAGTTCTCGTGTGACACTGGGGAACATAATTTACATCCTAATTGGGTGGCTAGGTGTTCTTTTGTTTTTCCTCCTTTCTTTTACTCATTCTTTTTATAATCAAAACAATCCCATTAATTAGCATACTCTCAAACAGAAAACTTTAAGTGGACCACATTCCTAATTGCATGAATTTTAGTGTCACTCCCTCACCTCCAAAAAAAAAAAAAAATTGTGGACACCCATCAAGAGCAAAATGATTTAATGCCAGATCAAAAAATGTGTCCTGGCTAATGGTATTAAGAATGGGATCACCTTACTTCAGATTCCATGCCCTGGAGATAACCCATTAGAAGAGAATAGGTTTACTTATAGAACTTCAAGATTAATGGATAAAAACTTTTTTCATTTGATGAAAGAACTTGTTTTCCCAGTTGTCACTCTGAGAACTTCCAGTAGATATATTCCTACCTAAGCCACCTTACAAGAACAAAGTTGGACTGGTAACATGCATTCCCCGTTGCATTTCCCCCATGCATCTCATGCACTGTGCTTCAAGAAAGTTGCCAGCCAGCCTGTGCGTGACCTCCCGTCCATAGCAGCCTGGCAGCCATGAGGAGAGTTGTTTTCTTAAATTATACAAACCTCCAACATTAAATTGCTATGTCTGACATAAATATTATCCCCTTCTACTCTCAAGGAATTTTTCTGTGAAATTAAATCACACACAGGGGGGAAAAGGCAAATAAACATAAGTGTATCAATCAGCAAGCACCAGAAATAACCCAGAGTTGGATAGTCTAAGACATTAAAATAAAAGAGTATTAAAAAAAATCTTAAAAACCTAAAGCCACAACAAGCAAAACTCACAAATAAACCCTGAAAGTGCATCACCCCACACACAATAATTATGGCAGGCAGCCACCACCAGCTTTTAACTTTGGAGAAAAATATCCACCTCCTCCAGCTGTGTTTCCTCTTCTTCCATCTTCGCCTGAAGAGTCACACGGCAAATGGCCAGAAAAAAGGGGTGCATTAGTGGAAACTCTACCATCGGTGCAAAGAAGCTGTATTTGAACTTCAGTGGTGAACCAGCATTACCAACCTTTATGCTGTGGCCCTCAGAAGGTGCAGAATATTAAGCCATTTTGGTCTTGCTTCACCTACAGTGTTGTATAAATGATGGAAGTGATCTTTTGCAAAGGTGGAATGAAGAATGGAAGCTTTGCTCTCTCAGTCCCTAGATTATATGCACTGCTTTTGAATATATATAGATATATATTTTACTCAGGAATGAAAATATGAGAGTGTAAAAATGGCATAATTCAATCTGTTCTAATTTTAAATGTCTTACTAGTGCAAAGTATGATAATGTAAAATTTGGCTTTTGCTTTATATTGAGGACAAATATTCACCCTATCATTCAGCTTTTTAACATAGATTTCTTTCCCTGGAGGGAAATTGGTGTATTTTGCTACGTTCATGTTAAAATGGAGGGGATTTAAATATACTCTGAAATATAGCCATCTTTCTTTCACAAAATTCTTAAACAAGAATCATTTTTCATAGTTGGGGAATACTCAGTATCTAATTACCCACAAGAATGAATTTGTAAATGTAAAACTAACATAAATACTGATGATTGCTGTCAAGGAAAGGAATGGCAAGAAAGAAAAATATTGATTCTGATACCAAAAGAAAATAGTTTAACCTTTATATGTTAACTGATATATTCTTTTTCTTCTTTACTAGAATGATAGTATCAAATCTGAGAGTTCAAAATGCTTTTTTCTTTAAGCATTCAAGTATTTTTGAGAAGTCAGCAGGGAGCTCACAGTATCTTTTTTATCAGAAGATAAAAATGAGACATAGCCACTCAACAATCTGTTAAGAATTATCTTCCAATTCCTTGGTCTATAGTAAATTCTCTAAAATGCCTGATCTTCGGCATCCTCCGGTAACCTTTAAGAATCGTGGTTTTGCCCACAATGCCTAATCGTTGCATCATCTTCACTTTTTTTTCAGGTTTGCTCTAAATTTTGTAATTTACTCTATGTAGTGATAGTACCCACAGGATATGAGACATGAAATCACCAGACCACATTAGCAAAAACAATAAAAAACATACTGCACATGTTAGCACTGACAGTGCAGAGGGAGCCTGATATAGGGGTAAAAATCCTCAAATCAGACATCTAATTTTAAATAAAAGAACACTAAGAGGCCCAACCTTAGGGCTATGAGTTCTAAATTTTCAAAAAGCCTTGTTTCATTTTCAATATACATTTGTTTTTTTACAGAAAAAGAAAACAGAATAGTATCTTTCTTACAAGATACCTAACAGTGACTCTTTCATATAATTACATGGTTTACAGTAAAAAAAACAAAAACAAAAACGAAAAACTAGTTGACGCTCATATAGTCTCCCAATGCTACAATAATAGGGAGAGACAAGGAGTTTCTGAGATTAGATCTACAAATGGCAGAAGTAAAGGTTACAGATGCAGCCTCATAAGTGCAAGAAGAAACTTGGATTTCTAACAAAAGAAATAATACTAAGGAGCTGTACTAATACTCATCAATTATAGTTATGCCCACTGCATCCTAAGTTCTATATCAAAACAAAGTTTCTATCCTAAAAGAACAGCATTAAGATCTGTCTGCAAAATGAAGAGACCCAATACGGATTAAGAGCAACACAGTTCTCCCCCTCCCCCCTTTTTTAGACCTAGCATGGCCTAGATATTTATAAAATAATCCTGTCTAACTTTGCTCTCATCTTAGAATGTATGGACCTGGTCAATGGAAAGGAAGTGCTTACACTTAGTTCTCATGCACTAAAATGTTGTGTGTGTCGAAATGTGCAGCTCATACTATACTGCGGTTAGTCAATGCTGACGTTTATGCACATGTTTACACTCTACATTAGGAAGGGTGTGAGAGGAAGGGTGTAGTTTTGTTGACCCCACAGACTGAAGCTTATGTAGGCGTGCCAGCAACTGCTTCCTCTTCCTCTGTCCTGTCATTCAAGTCACAGTCATAAGATACAGTAAAGGCAGTGGCTTTAGCCTCCAGATAGCAAAGGGACAAAGCCAGAGGAAGGGAAAAGGTGAGGGAAAAAGTCACTGACTGAGAAGCAGAGAGAAGTAGCCCGAAGATGAGGAGGAGGGAAGGAAGGAAGGAAGGAGAGGTGATGGGAACGTAGTGCTGGACATCGGCGGGGAGAAAGGAGACCCAGACCCTGGGGAGGCTAGGGAAAGCGAGATAGCCATCCTCATCAAGGAGCGAGCGGAAGCTGGACGGAAAGCATCTGCAGAAACTGAAGGAAAAGGACCCCAACTCAGAATCCTTGTGCTCAGCCTCTTTGGGAGGCTTCTCTTGGGTGGGAGGACAGTCAGTCTGAGAGGGGGCTACCACAGGGTCGCAGATAGAATCAAGGGCAGCCACCCCACAGGCCCCCCGCTCTGATGTCTCCCCCGTGGAAAGGAGCTCGAAACTGTCTAGTGTGACTTGGTCGGCCTCCCCAAAGGGGTCTTCCTCTGAAATGTCTGAAAGCAAGTCCAGCTCAGGGACTGGCGATAGGTTTGGGGAAAGATATGAAGCACAGCAGATGAGTGGTGAAGGTGGGAATATGGAAACAGGCTGTTCCCAGGCGCAAACCCATGACTGAATGTGAAATTACACAACGGATGCATTCAAAGGAGAAACAAAGGCAAAAGAGAAAGAGGAGAGAAGAAATGGGTAGTTAGTGAACACTTTTACTCTAAAGTAGGGATTGATCGTATTAACACAGTGTATTTAGAAAATGAATTAAATGATCCATATTTTAAGAGGAAAACTAAACTACTTTTATCACGTAAAATGTATAGGTACAGACTGACTTAATTATTGTTTTTTGACTGGCTGCAAACAGATACAATGAAACTCGAATAGCATCATTACTTTTAAACCTGGTTGCTGACAGACATTCAAAGCGTTAGAAAAAGGCCAACACACCCAGTCTTTTGCCAAAGATAAGCAGAATTTCCTTTGGAATTTAAAAGAACTTTTAAAAAAATAACTGGGTGTCTAAAAATAACTCAGCAAAATGGAACAGAGACTTTGACTTGCTTAGCTATTTTGTTTCAGATGTTAGTGTAGTGACTCTCCGTGGTGCCTTGTGAGCATAATTATAAAAAATTCTGACAACTTTTCAGCAGGTGAAAAATACTTTGATGGACACAATTTCTGTTCTTTTTAACTAAATAACTTTTTAAAATAATTTTTTAAATATGATACTCGCAAATTCTATGATACTCGCAAATTCTTCAACAAAGGTGTGGGGTGATTTGATGGCATATGCTGCCTGAAGCACTTGTCCTCATAGCATAAGGTCCACATGGTCCCCCACTCCCAATATGGTAAGTACTAGAGGTTGTCAAATTCCCGAGGAACTGGCAGCTACTTCACCTAGCAGTTTCTTTAGAAATTCATGTTGCATGTCTTTAGAATTTTCAAAGTTAAAATTTAGAAAATATGGTAAATCTACAGAATGATTTCTTTTTTCATGTTTACTTTCAATGTTACGCATAAAAAAGTTGCTATGTGCAGATCTGAAGAACTCAAAGCCTCTTCACATCAACTTCTCAGTGACTTTACTTGCCCGAGGTGACAAGGTGACACAAAATAACAGTGACAAATCTGAAAACACGATATAGGCTACTTCCCCATACACTGTGGTATATGCACCAAATAAGGGCTAAAAGCAACACACCATCTTCTCACTCACTGTTCAGAAAACAATTACCTTTTGCTTACGAGTTTCTTCGTCATCAGTTATAGATTATTAATGAAAAATTATATTTTTCATAAAAACCATTCTTTGTTCATTTCAAAAAAAAATTCAAGTCAACATAATTACAAAAATCAAGGCAGGTTATACTTTAAAACGTCCTTGTAACAAACAAATATAAATTTCAAATCATCATAGCTTTTATAATTTGTGGATTTGACTAAATAGGATTACGAAGAGCATCAAAAGACCAATAAATTACTTACTTGCATTAATATAATTTATGTTGAAAAATTTTGCTTTAAACAGTATTCAGAAAAAAGGTTAGAGGCCCTGTCCAAACTAGCAAGAGTCTACACATATTTGAAAAATAGGAAATTACATCAACAGGGAACACACATTAACTGATTTTAGATAATATTTTGAATTCTGAAAGAACAGATGCAACAGAGCGCCTCTAGTCTTAAGTGCACATTTAAATCACACAGCCTCCTAATTTACCATACCTTTCCTTCAAGGAGCTGCATGTGTGGGGCTTTAGTTGGGCTTCTGATGTCTCTTCTGCTATCCCCGTCTTGTATCAGGGCAGTGCTGAGCACTCCACGGCCGTACGCTGAAACCTCCCCAGCAGGGCCAGGAAAATCCTTCATGAGACTTTGGTCCACAACGCCAATTGGAGCTAGTAAAGAATGATCGTTTGGATTACTGTAGGACATCAAAATGGTCAAACTTTAGGGAACTTTCCTCCCCTTACACAGAAAAAGTGGCAGCATGTAGACAACAGGAACATTGCTTGAGCTCTGAAAATACCAACATACCAAGTAAACTCATTTTTAAACTTTTACCAAAGTATAAAAGTATTCTGAATTTTTAAAAATTGGTTTCAGGTATACAAAACAATGTCATAGTTAGACATTCACATCCTACACAAGGTGATACCCCCCCTCCCGCAATCTGCTACCTCTCTGACTTTTTAACCCATTAAACTAAACCAGGGTCTCGAATCAGTTTTTTGAAGGATGTACTCTGATCATGGAACTGGCCAGTAGAAGGCGCTCTAAGACCAGCTGAAAGGAGCCATATGTCAGCATCACAACGTAAGCAATATTCTAATTCTCTAGGGTTTCTTTGATCTTGCCTGAACTTATTTCTGAATCTATTTACTATGACAAATAATTTACCTATTTATTAAAATAACTTGCTTCAATAAGTTCAAAGAATTCTCCCATAAATGAACCTTTAATTTGAATCCAACTTAAAACTGTAACAAGACAGTAAAGGTAGATTTCAAGGAACTTTTGTGTTTATGTTTAATAGTTTTAATATTTCTAACCTTTCCTGAATGCCTCAACTTGACCTAACAGTAAATCTAATACATAGACACCCCCCCACCTCAGCAAACCTAGTCCTCATGTGTACCTTTTACCTCTCCTACAGATGGGCAGGAACATATACGGTGTTGAAATCTGTGTCCTATGGCAGATCAACCTAAGAAGGCCTCAGATCTCAGCAAAGAAAGGAAGGTGAATGGCAGCTGGCGAAGCCTCTCTCCACCTGTAGTCTCTTCTTCAAACCACAGAACCACCACTGAGGTCACTTCATCTGTACAAAAAGCACTTGACTGGCCTGGCTCCATGCCTCTAGGGAAGCCCAGTAACCACAGAGGCCTTTAGGCTGCAAGCTCTCGGAGGGCAGCGACCGTGTGTGAGCCACCATCTGTTGAACTTGGGAGGGATCAAGCACTTCTAATCCATGTGTTACAAGAAAACTTGGGTCCACACCCCTGACATTCCCCGTCCCAAACTTCTTTCTTCCCCAGTCTTGTCTTTTTCACCACCTTCATATATGCACCAGTTACTCCAGCCAGAGACCTTGAAGTCTCTTCCTTTGCCCCTCACCACCAGCACGTCCAATAGAGTCCTCGGGGCTATTTCTATTTCTAAATGTGGCCAGTTCTTCCATCTCTTTCACCACCCAGGTCCCTTTTAAGACTTTCACAGCCTTTTAATACTTATATTTTTGAAAGCCCACAGAAAATCATAAAATGAACTCACATCTTACATTAAGTATAATTATTTTCCAGATATTTTTAAACTTTTGATATTTGAATAACTTTCGCTTGGAAAGTATATGGCTATGAGTAACTCTTTTAATTTATGATTATGATTTCTAAGTACCCTTACACATACTCAGAAATTACTGTAAAATGGGAAAATCTGACCTAGCAATGGTTTCAGACATAATATTAACATTTTAATGAATTTCAAACTTAAAGTTACACAATTGACAAATTTAAGTTCGTAGGGGGATTTTTTGGTTTTGCATTTTGAAGCAAGTAATTTTTATTAGGTCTTAAACACTCTGAGAACCCTGAGAAGTTTGTAGGAGCCAGGCACTGAGCTTATGGTGCCAAACGGCTACTGACCCACGATCCCCCAACGCAAGACCACCATTGCTCTCACCTGGATTATTCCTAACCAGTCAGCCTGCGTCCTCTCTTGTCCTTTCTAATCATTTTTGAACCTGCACCAAGTGATTCTTTAAAAAAGATAACTGGACACTTATGTGCTTGCACGAGTGTGTGTACACATACACACAAAACCTTTTGACCGTTTCCTACAGCAGCTAGAATAAAAACCACATTCTTTACCACGGCTTGCAGCGCCCTGCATAACCTGCCCCCAGCCTGCCTCTCCCCATTACTTACTAAGCTCAACTACACTTGCCTTCTTTCTGTTCCTGGAATGTATCAAGCTCTCCCTAATCTTATAACTTTCAGACTTGCTGCTCCTGCTTCTTGCAATGCTTTATCTCCTTTTGTCCTATTCATGGCTGCCTCCTTCTCATCCTTCAAGTCTCAACTGAAGTGGTTCTTTCTCAGATAGGCCTCCCTTCCCTGATGACCCACCCAACCCAACTAGTGCCCCTGCTTATATTTTCCACTTGCAGGAAGACATTGCTTTCCCCGCTCTCAAATGAATCTTGGTTGTTAGCTCTCTTTAATAACTCATTTGTCTATTTTTCTTGGTTTGATTTTCTAATTTTGGAATCTAAATGTTCTGAAAACAGCTATTCTAGATTGAATTTTTATTTGATTTGATGTTTGATATCACATTGATCTTACATTCTACATAATCACTAGAAGCTTTAATTTATCCAAACTTAAAATGAGAAATATGTATACATATGTCTACATTAATCTAGCCTAACTTATAAACTAAACAGGAAAAAGAAAATATAACACATGTCAACAACAACAAAAGACGTTGATGGGGAGTGGTGAGGAAAATAGAGCTCAGTTCCAGGTTACAGCCTAGTTTTGCTCTGGGGCGTGGGGGTTGGGAAGGAGAATATAAGCCTTAACCAAATAGTCCACTGGCTCTCTGGTCCTGTATTGGTATGAAAAGCCTTCTATTTTTCACAATAACACAATAATCCTTTTGATAACCTGCCCATCTGATGAATTACAGTGTCCAAAACACAAAAGGAAAATAATGGATTACTGTGTCGTGTTTGCTGCTTTTACTTGTAAAAATCATTGTTTTTAGATATAGACCTATTATAACCCTCTGCACTAATTGCCCATATAAGATGGTAGGTTTCCTTGAACACAGCTGATGTATCTCAAAGAAAACACAGTGGTTTACTCCTTTTTTTTCTTTACTCTAAAATTTGCAACGTAAGAGTTCTAATGCCTCCTAGTTTAAAACAAAGGCTGAAACAGTGTTCAAAATGGGGAATGATTTCTCTCAGGACATTCAACATCACTGATTGCATTTATTCAGCACTTGTAAAAGCTCTCTGTGGCCAGGGGCAAGGCTTGTGAAATATTTACAGGAGCAGGCCAATTTTTCAGATTTACTTGAAAAATGCTCTGTCGTTGATTAGCTAAAAGATATAGCAATAGCTATTGTACATTAATAATTCACTAAATTTAAGTCACTGTATTTGGGCATGTGAACATATATCTGAAACATAGTTTGTGGTCCTCTTGCACATACTTTGGGTGGTCTCATAAAACTATACTGAGGAGTATCCAGAATCAACATTTAATAACTATATATACCAAATGCCCACCAACAAATCCTGGGAAGATCTGTGTTTATCCCTGGATCTGTTTTCCATGTTTATTCCAGGAAAAATAGATCAAGGCCAAGGGGTGTCAATTCTGCACTAATGAGAGAGAGCATTTTAAACTATTAGCATATCCAGTCTGTTTTAGTTAATTATTTAAAATATAAGTTGTTCAAGTTCATATTTCAGAAAAGGTATCAGTAATAATAAGCAACCAAAAAAGGTTTTTGCTGATAACAGTAGCAAAACAGAACATTCTAAATTTAATATTACTATTTTTGTGTATGTTTTGAGATTCATCAATTAAAAAAAATGTTGGAAAACTACTTCTGGTAGAAAATCATCCACAGCAATACCGCCTTTTAGGTAGAAAAAAAAGATTAAGTTCTTCATAAAGTATTCTAATATAAAATTAACCTTAGCTCTTTTATAGAAAACCTGCTATTAACACAAAATTAGGGTAATAAGATATATATATATATGAAAGGAAGCATCAATCTTTTCCACGTATAATTTATATAAAACTACAAATATGTAGCTAATTAGAGTTCCAACAGGAAAAATATTCTAATTTATACATACCTCCCCTTGGGTGAAAGAACAAAGGAACATATTATATTTCCTTTCTTTTTGTTAAACACTGTAGGGCCGGCCGAGTGGCATGGTGGTTAAGAACTGGCTTGGGACGCCAGAGGGCTCCGGTTCGGATCCCACATATGAGGGCCAGTGACACTGCCCTCTACAGCTAAGATGCTGAACAACAGCTCAACCTGGAGCTGGGCTGCCGTGGGTCGCCAGCGAAGGCATAGGCTGCAGTCCCCTGCTGCAGTGGGCTGCCATAAGCTACCATGTGTAGCCGGCAGCCAGCGTGAATGGCCACCAGCCAGCGTGAGCGGCCAACAGCCGCCGTGAGCGGCTGTCCAGAGGCTGGTGACTGATCTGGCGACTGATCTGCCTCGCCCAGGAAGAGTGCAATGATGGTGCCAGCTTGGGCCAGTGAAGCAACATCCTCCACAACTAGACTGAAGAACAAAAAACAACAGCAACTTGTCTGTTCCCCTTCCCCCGATTCCCCAATAAAATCTTAAAAAAAAATACAAAACAAAACAAAACAAAACAAAAAACACTGTATTTAAACTAATCCTTTGAAGCTGTGAATGGTTTCTCATATGCTGGAAAGTTTGGTAAGCTTCAGTCAGAGTTTTTAAACTCATAAAAATTTGAATGTTTTAAGTTCCTTTGAATAAAGGTTCAGATGTTACCACACCAAAAAACCCTCGGAATTACATTTTTGCATTAACAAATTCAAGAAATTAAGCCACACAAAATACATCACATTAAGTCAGAACAGTAAAAATGTTGTTTATGCAACATCTCATCAATGAATTCTCTTAGCTAATATTTGTGTGCATTGACAGTGCAAAGAAAACTTAGGTTCAGAATGACAACTTCAAAACACAACAAAATTTTCTTCGTGAGTGTAAGAAATAGCATTTTATTTACTCAGAAAAAAATAGCTATCCCTCTATGGGATTTCTTGGGGCCTTATTAACTAGATCAACAATTTCTGATCCCACTGGATTAGAAAAGATTAATGGCATCAAATCTATCATAAATGTGTTTACCTCCATCTAGACTCCTGGAGGCCCGTTTACTAGACGTGCGCTCAAAGTGTGGTGCTGGTCTATCAATGAGGGTGCTTGCCTGGCGGGTCTGGGCTTGGGTGCGGCCGCTGTAGCGGAATTTGGACCCCAAGGTCAGGAACTTGGCCTTTGGTGGCTGCTCTGGAGACACAAGCCTATAGGGGTAAAAATAATAAATAAATAAATAAAAATTAGAATTTATGTTTTTTTTTAAACTTTAAAACTGTATATTTTAATATCGCATTTTATTAAGTATGATTACTCAATGTAAAAAAAAAAGGCTGCCAAGTTTCTAGTAAAAAAGCATTATTTATAAACCTTTCTACATACAGGGCTTTATGATAGTGATAAGATGAATAAATCCACATTCATGTATTCATGAATAATGCTTTCGTCAACGTGAGCAAAAGTGCAGCTGTTCTCAGTGTATATCAAAGGTTATTTATTTGTATAAGCTTAAATCGTTTAGATAAACACATATGTCTGATTTTTGCTCATAGCTGTAAGTGCCAAGTAGCAATCCATTACCATTAGTAATTCTTAATATTTATGTCTATTTCTCCTGGGAAAGAACATCTAACTCAAGAATCTGTTCCATCAAGCGATGCTTTCCCATGAAGAACACAGCACCCAGTGGATCTGCAGAGATGACTAACATCCTCTCTTGCCAGCACAATTCTAATGCTTAAAACCTGGTTCATAATGAATGAAGTCAAAATTGCTGTCAAATACTTCCACGTATGTGAAAATATGCTTTTAGTAAGAGGGCCAATCTTGTCTGGAATACAACTGAAACTTCCTTACTTTCACTGTCTGATCAAGAGTTGGCAAAACGTCTTAACAAAAAGATAAGCTCAGGGTTCTTGTAGAATTTATTAAATAAGAAGGTATTACTTGACAATTCCACAATATGGAGAACGTCACCAAAATTTTTCCTATCATTCTTCAAAGAAGAGTGATTTCTTAAAGAATTCTTTACCATTTTAAGTATTTCTAGGCCTTCTGCCCAATTTTTTAGAAATCTTATTCTGTTTAATAAGTAATGAAAAGACACTCAAGTCAAGGTAAAGCTACATGCATAATAATAACACAAGAGGCGATCCTCCATTAATTCAATAGAAAAATAACATGTTATAATTAAACTGATGAAAGAAGAACTAATGCACTCTAGCTTTCTTGGCTTTAATTTATTCATGTAGGGTAGCAGAAACATTTCTTGAAAACTTCCATTTTCTGCCAATAGATGTTCTCAGGAGACACAGATGATGCTGTTGAGAAAGTCTACTCTGGCAATGCCAGTACCGCAAACTGTACTTTGGAAAAAGCAGTATATTCTTAAATTAGAATGCTAGAATACCAGAAATTTAGGCCAGAAAAGAACTCTTACCTGTGGTTCTGCATTCTCTCTCTTTCTCTAACAGTTAAGGAAACTGACCCCCCAAAAGATCAGCACCCTAATCACAGAGTAACAGAGGCAGAGTGAGAAATGTGCCATTTACATGCACTGTCTCCTGATGGGTTGAATACGGCAGGGTTTCCTTACCTTGCAATCCAGCTAAACATGGATTTCTTACATGCTGTGTAAGAAAGCAATGATCTATAGAAAAAAGGGTCACTGGCAAACATATCAGTGCAATCACTGATTAAGAAATGCTCACTCTCCTTGAAGAGCAAGTTCGTTAAATCACATTTATGTATGATCTTTTTAAGAACTATTCTCTGTAGCTACTGGGAGATCAACCAAAGGGAAAAAGAGAGACATTTCTAAAAAAATACTTCAAAGGAGAAACACGCATTGATGACTCAAAGAAGGTATCTCTCCATCCCCTGAAAAATTAAAAAAACTAAACAAAAGAAAACAAATGTTGGCAAGGATGTGAAGAAATTGGGACCCTTGCACACTGCTGATGGGAAGCTTTGGAGCACAACTTCTCAAAAAAATTAAAAAATAGAACTACCAATGATCTCACTTCTGGGTATTTACCCAAAAGATTTGAAATCAGGATCTCAAAGAGATACTGGCACTCCCAGGTTCATCACAGCACTGTTCACAATAGCAAAGATGTACAAACAACCTAAGCATCCATTGACAGATAACTGTATAAAGAAAATGTAACACACACACACACACACACACACACACACACACACACACACAGGAATACTATTCAGCCTTAAAAAAGGAAAACCTGCCATATGCGACAACATGGATGGACTCTGAGGGCATTCTGCTAAGTGCAGCAAGCCAGACTCAGAAGGGCAAATACTGCATATATGAGGTATCTAAAACAGTCACATTCCCAGAATCAAAGACTGGAGAGGTGGTAACCAGGGGTTGGAAGGAGGGGCAAATGGGGAGTTATCCATCATCTGGCATAAAGTTTCAGTTAAGTTAGATAAATAAGCGCTTGAGATCTGCTGTACAACATTGTACCAACAATCAACAATAATATATTGTACATTTAACTTTTGTTAAAGAGGATAGAGCTCATGTTAAGAGAGTTTACCACAATAAAGCAAAATTATTTTTTTTAAAAAGCGACTAGAGGTGAGGAGGAGAGTGAGGCTGGGGTATCTGCACCCTTCTGTAGGCTCACCTCTGTTTTAACCATAGGCAACGTCTTCCAGGAATGAGCAGCTCCATAGGAGGATTCACACTCATTTTCAATTTACAAATTATATAAATCCAAGAAACACAAGGAACACATTTTAAAGGCAGATATATGTCACAATGCAAAAGAAGGAAAGTCATTAACTAGGGGATTTTATTTTACTTATTTCAAATTGAGATAAAACACTTCCTTGCCTGACTGGCCCTGGTGAGCACATTACACAAAGTATTAGCTTGCAGATTAATTTTCTGATGACAAAGAGATCTTTCAGTAATTAAAATGCAATTACATAGAAACAAACGTCAAAACAAACAAGGGCGGGCTTGACCACAGGCATTTATTAACTTTCTATAAAAGACCATTTTTGGTGACTTAAGTCAATGGTTATATAGATACATTTTCAAGAAAATGGAGACCAAGCAACAAAACATTTCAATACTATCACTTCAAGCTCACTGTATTCCCTTTTGCTGTTATTTTTATTTCCACATCAGACCCATCCTCTAAGAATAACATCAAAACCACTACAAGGCATCTTTTATTTCACTTTGGGGAATTTCAAAGCTATGATAAGGGACTAATCATCATAGAGCACTTAAAGGCCTTAAGCAAGATGATCTAAGTAATGATGTGTTTCAAAAGAATTCGACTTTCACATATTTTACTGCTTAAGAAATGTATTAACATTTTAATTTTATAAATATCCTGTCATTACAAATCAAATATTATTAATGTGTAACTACAGGAAATAAAGGAACATTTTTTAAGAAAACCAACATATGAATTATTAAATCAAGCATACATTTAACGAATGCCAAAGGTTTCCATCAGGCTCTCTATGAAGCGGCTGAGGACACTAATTCACTTGGGATTACTCCAGTTCACAATGCCAAGTTTAAATGGCAGCTTAATGTCATGCTAGAGAACCTCATGTTCATCTTGTTTACATACCACCACCACCACCACCACCACCACCACCAAAAAAGCACTGATAAAACACCAGGGAGTACATTGCTGCAGACAGTCAGGGAGTCTAGCACAGTGGGTATACTTGTGGGTGGTCAGAGCCATATACCACTTGGGTTTCAATTCCATCTCCACCCGTTCCTATGTATAAAATTATGGGCATGCTTCTTAACTTCTCTGTTCCTCAGTTTCTCCATATGGGAATGAAGATAATAGCACCTGCCCCATAAGATTTATGATAAAGATGAATAGAATTAATCCATGTATAGCACTTAGAATCATGATGGGTTCTAGTAAACGCTGAAGCAAGGATAGCAGCTTTATTATTATGCTCTTTTCCACTAATATTAGTCTACCTGAGTATCAATCAATACAAAGATCTGCTTATTTTTTAATGGCTTCCATCTGAAAGCCATTTTAATTTTCTAAAGAAATCACTTGCATCTTTTGTGAAAACCTAAAACAGAATAAAATCCATTTATTGGCTTCAAAGCACTCTGCAAGTAAATTATGGTTTGCCCTTTCTGTGTTAGATACATGTTTTATACTATGTGTGAGCAAAGTTATACGAGGTTTAAAGATATAAAAGCACTTCTGTTAAATTGGTCTACCTTTAAACTGGGGTCCATGGTATGTTAGCAAAAATAATGGAGGGGCCTGCGGCTTTCCCGAGCTAAAGGGCATCTCAGAAAGGCCTGCTAGAAGACCACAAGGCGGGGGGCGGGCAATGCAGAGGTGAAGAGTGTGGGCTTTAGAATCAGAGCCAGGTCCCCACCTCTGCTCAGCTTTCCACAAAGTGGACAGGAATCAATGAGATGGTGCAAGGTAAAGCAATTAGCTCTGCGACTGACCACAATGTGTGCTCAATAAATGTCAGCACTTGTCATCTCTAAAATGATTATTGCTTGTGTTATCGTTATTTGACACGGAAGCCCGCTGTTTGTCCTGCCTGGACTTGTGTCATTTATAACTTATAAATGTTACCTGTTAGCTTTATTTGAAGTAGGCTCATGCTATCTAAGGAGAAATCTGCCATGGCTATGAAGAAAACTGTAAACTTTTCAAAGATTTAAATGATCAGTGTAACTAAGTCAGATGGATTCAAGTATATTTTATGAGTTGCATTTTTCCTCTAAAATGAGTATATTAGAGCAATTTTGAAAATAGAGGGTGCCAAAAAAATGTATACACATTTTAAAGAAGGAAAAAAACTATTAAAATTGTAATACTCGATATATACCGATAACAAAAGATGAATACTAATCACATTTGACTTCTGCAATTACAATAGGTGCTTGAAGTGGTTATCATCGGTGTCCAGACACTTCTGATTACGGCGAACTACTGTTTGAGCAACGCTGACCAAAGTGTCCCCCAGTAGACAAATATTTTTTTGGCACCCCCGGTAGATAAATAGCTCACTGTGGCACTAAACTAAGAATAAATAATAAGGACAATGTGATAGTGACGATGATGATGATACAAACTATTACAAACCAGAAATGGTTCTAAGTTTGTTTCATGTGTGTTATCTCATTTGCTCTTCAAAACAACCCTGTAAGGTAGGTACTGTTATTATTACCATCACATGGATGACGAAAATGAGACTCAGAAAGGTGGAGTGACTTACCCACAGTCACACATCTATATGGAGGGACAGGATTAGACCCTAAGAGTCCCAAGCAAAAACCCTAAAGATAAAGGGTCTGGATACACAGCTACATACACCATGCTGATAGAAAGCTGCGGAAATACAGATAAAGAAGAAGGGCAAAGTATCGTTTGCCAAGAAAAGTAATGTAAGAAATATGCCTTTGAACAAAAGTATGACTACCTGATAGCACTGAGGATCCCGATGATGTGGAAATGGCGTTATCTGGAATAGCACTAACCCCCAGACTGTGGGATTTTCTCTTACAGAGAAGGAGTGTGTGTATCAGGACAGTTGTGCTATTTAGGATAGCACTTGATAGCACATGTACAGAAATGGCGAGGTCAGGACACAGGACTAATCCAGGACCAGCAGATGGGCAGAGTGATGTGCAAAAAAGGGCAGGGGCTTGAGGGGGTTAGAACACTCCTGACAAAGCAGCAAAGGGGCAGACCACAGGGTTCGAGCTGGTTTGGGAAAGAAGTTAAGCAGGAGGGAGCTGATAAGAACAACTAAATGAAACCTAAGACAAGTGACAGTGGGAAGAATGACAGCCGGGTTGACAGCGTATGGTGGTGGTGGAAAGAAAGGTGGCTGTCGTCAGAAAGTGGAGTTTTGGACCATCGCAGAGGCAGACAGTTCTGAGTGATGACAAGGCATGGCCAGGGCAACAGAAAGAGACGTAGGAGTGGACGTGGCAGACAAAGGAGACTTGTCACTGAGAAGAGCAAAGAGCCATAATGCAGGGTGTCGCTGCATCTGCCACACTCTTCACTATCACCTTCCAGTACGTAGAGGGTACCAAGAGCTGTTTAATTAATTTTAACATCTTTTCTTAAAATTACCTGTAGAAAGTATGATGTTCCACACACACTTTCCATAGCCTTTTCGCAGCCCGATGGTTTGGCAGTTTGAATCCAATGGTGCTCTCAAACTGTTCCAGCTAAAATAAATCCATAAATAAATCAGCATGTTTCATTAAGAGTTAATTAGAAGCTACTAAAAACATGGACTTGGATTTTCACTAAAAAGTAATTCTTCTTGAATAAGGTAAATAAATCTAATAGAATTACACAAAATAGATATTTCATAGCCTGCAACACTTGTTTCTATGAAAAGCAGGTATCAACCACTGACATAAAGCAATCATCCTTCAAAGTCCACTAAAACTCATTTTACTACCTTCCTATTGGTCTCTACCACTTAGCTAATTCAACAACAACAAATCATGAGTCCCCACGATGTGGCAGGAACTTACTGCCTTTTCTTTTCTGTGAAATTGTGGTTGTTTCTTGTTTTTTAGCAACAGGAATATATATGCAGGTTTATTATCAAGAACCCCGACCTTTTTTCACCATGGAGGAATAAAGAATAGTTCCCTTTCTTAAGTTCAGTGGCAAGAATTCAGTTAGCATGGCGGGACAGAACACCGATAAAGCCTACTCAGATATGTCACGGGCTGTATATGGCATGCTTACCTCTGCTGGCCTAACTTTAATGTAGAAGTTACTGCGCTTATAGGAAATTTTCAAGATTTTCGGCCAAGCAAAACGATTGATTCTCAGTCTGTCTTTGTAAATGAGGAGCCCATTAGCACACACGCCCAGCTTGATGTCCACGCCTTCAGAGTCCTGCCAAGAACAAGCCAGTTGACCACTGTTAGAGCTGTGAAAGCTACACAGATTAGGAAGCTCATGGGTCCCCTCAAACCATGATGAGGAATATCAATATAACAAGTTTAGATTTAAATTACAGTGACAGTACACAAATTAATAGAATCAGTAAGAAACACAACACATTTTAAATCTATTCAACTTCAGGGATCAAATCTGATTTGTCAAAGACTATGGGACACAATGTTCTTCAAAAGGCATAACTCATGTTCTTGAGCTTGGTTCTAAGAGCTACAAAGAAAGGAAACAGCACTTGATTTAGATATCCTGAAGATATGAGAGATAAAATGTGTTTGCCTAGAGGCTATTCCAGCCCTTGGTGACTGTATGTTGGCCTAAAGTATGTTCATCCATTTTACTTCAGACAAATTTATCTCAGATGGAGTGTTCTAGCTCATAGCTATTAAAATTATGCCTATATTCTGCAAAACACCAATCCCTCCCAGAAAATTTCTCTTTTAGGCTGACAGTGCTAAAATCTTTGAATTCTTTCAAGTAGTTCTTCAATAACTTAGAGTGCTGACATCCAGTTCTCATTACAGCATTCCTTTGGCTGGCAAATGGGTTGAAGGCGATTCTTAAACTTATTGATATTGTTTTCTTTCCCCAGTGTTTTAATTTGGAATAGATGACAATCCAGAATAATCACCAGCTGAAAGATTTTAAAAATCAAGTAAGTTTACAGATGCAAGAAAAAAAACTGGCTCCTCATATTTCAAGTAGTGTTGAAGATCTAATATGTACAATATTCAAAGTATCCAAATTATTGTTTATTGTTAAGGGAAAAACTGGATCTCATTCAAAATATGTAAAATTGGAAGAATATTATTCAGAGATATTCAGAAATCATTAACAGCATGGAACAAATTCTCACAAAACATGCTGAAACAAACACCACATTTAGTGCAGGTCTCAATTCAATAAAAGCATAACATTCGAACTGCCTTGTTACTGAGAACAATTTACCACAATTTATACTAGTTTTAAAAAATTAAAGTACAGTGCTAAGTAACTGATGCCAGCAGCTTCCACTGCTGATAATGTGAAGAATTTTCGAATGTACAAATAAAATTACATTAGACCATCTAAGAGGTTTAAAAATCTAATCTATAAAATGCTTTATTCACTGATACTCTGGCAGCCACAATTCTCTCTAGGAACAGAGTAAGAAGCTGGGGTGAATCAGGCACAGGTGCCCAAGCAACTTGGCACCAGACACAATCGATGTGTTTGCCAAAAACCTCACTGGCCGTGGCCACAGGCTGGGACCGGAAGGCTGCCCAACACAGCATGTTCTCACCACAAGTGAGGAGGCAACCCTCATCTGAAACACTCAACAAAGCCATCTCCAGTCTGAGACGATCTCTAGAAAGGACACTGAAGCTATTTTATTTGACTTAAAAATAAACACAAGTAAATCAGTTGATTTTCAGTTGTTCCACGCATTGTTTTAGAATTATCAGTATTTGTATGAGTACAAATTACAGATGAAAGATAAGAAGTGAAAGGGAAAAAACAGGCCTTCGTTCCCCATATTTGACTCCTCTCAGCAACCAAGTCAGAAAAATAAACGAACAAAAAGGAAGTATCTTCTCTTCCTTGCTCACTGCCTCGGGAAGCCGTTCTCTGTGGATATCAATAGGATCCCATGCCCACGGGCTTCGAAGGGGTTCAGCCTATGTAAAGTTCTCCAAGCTCAGAGAGAAAAGATGAAGGGAAGTGGGGGGACCCTGGTTTTCAATACCCAGATTCCCTCCCTGTACGGTCGCCATCAGGCTGGCTGTGTCTGATAATTGCAGCTCCTCTTAAGACAGCCCTCACCACACAGATCTCTCCTGGGTTCTGGCAACCACTCTGTCCTCACTCCTTCACATTCAGAGAGGTGAAAAGGTACCTTGTGCTACCTCAGAAGTATCACTCCTTTGTCGTCTCCCTGTACCTTTATCAAGAGAACTTTTACTCAATACCCTTCAACTTGTCCTAACATGAATGTGCCAATATCTTCTGGTAATAAAATATTAACTTAAAAAATTGAAATATGATATCAAGACAATGAAAAATGTATAAAAGCACAAAAACTACATGAAAAGTTCTTTTAAATTGCTACAGATATCTTGCTGATCAAATAATATCTGAGTCTATCAGATGATAAACAGAATGAATGAATAAATGCTACTTTCCAGTATTTTCAAAACCATCTGCTCCTAACCACAGAACAAGAACTTTAATTATACTTGTAATAGAGTTGGCAACTTTTTTACTTTTCTAAAATACAGGCTATAAAATCAAGAATCTTGAAACCTTGCAGTATCGCCATCAAAGAACGGGTTTCTCACTAATGATCAACAAAGCAGCAGATCCAAGATTTACATGCGGCAAGTTAACAGGGTTTGGAGTAGGAGAGGTGCGCTCCCAACCTGTTTCCTGCTCCCTGCCTTATTTCTGTTTTTCAGCGAACCCAGCCTGTCCCCACTATGCAGAGACATGAGCTGAAAGACACAAGTGTTAGGAAGATGTTTCACCTCCTCCTAGGTTTATCGGAAGGTATCAGGCAGATGGGACTGCTTTACGCAACGTGGCTTGGGACATGTCCTTCACTGCATTCTGTTTCATGTAGTTTTTGTAAAGTAAAAACATCTGACTCGTAAATGAGATGGTGTATGTGAAAATACTTTTTTAAATTAAAGGCATATGGCACCTAGCAAGCTAGAAATGCTGCAGCCAGAGACTGTTTGCTAATGGAAAAGTGTTTAAAGGAGCAAGTGAACAAAAGAAAACATGAAGTAATACTTGCAGTATAATCTCGTATTTAAAATGCATGAGTTTAATTAAAGGTTTTTTTGAGCTCAGAGATTTTTTAAAAAAACAAGAAAATATATCAAAATATTAACAGTGCTTGTTGTGCACAAACAGATTTCAGTGATTTTTATTTTCTTCTGTTCACCTCTATTTTCTATGATGAACATGTGTTACTTTAGTAATAGGGAAAAATATTTAAAGAAGACAGGAAGCCACTGAGGAAAAAAAGAGCACTTTGCAAATATGAAGCACTATAAACACAAAAGCAAGAAGTTTTAATCTGAGGTGTAGGGAGGAAAGATATCTTCGGGTGGGGGGCTTTCCTAGAAATTTATCACATCGTATCATCTGGGCTTCATGGGCTACATCTAAGGATGGGCAGGGTCTATCAAAAGCAGGCAACCATGGGTGCCCTCAGCATGCTGAGTTGACTCCAGACATAATTTTCAAAGCCAAATCCATCTTTCACCTTCCCTCTTGTTCTCCTCCTTGACTATGGCTATTACATGATCATCCAAACGAGGGCCATGAATAGGTGATGTTTGTATTTATTACTGGCACCCCACTCCCTCCCCGTCAAGCCACCCTCACCTTCTCCTAACACCTCTCTCATTACTCCATTCTTTTCCCACCTCTGAAATTAGACTGAAGGTGCTGCGTCACCTGGCGCCTGGGCTAGCCTGCTTTCATCTTACAAGACGTACAAAACAGACGTACAGGGAGAAGAAGTGCAATGCTAGGGCTCGTCACAACCCAGAAGCTTTGTGGACAGTGGTCAAATCCACACCACTTCTGCCCTTTCCCAGTGGCTGAGACCTGCTCTCCTCTCCTAACGCAGAGGCAGGAGAGGGAGCTGGGACAGAGGCAGCATCTGACACAGCAAAAGCTGAGACAGAGTAAGCCAGGATGAAGGATCAAGAAGGCTGCCAAGGTAAGTCAGGACAAGTACGTATGAAAAGGGAGCAGCTAAAAAGATTGGGAAAAGAAGAAAGAAGTAGGGGGAGAATTAATTAACCCTCCCACAATTATAAACCCCACAACTAGTCACCAAAGGAATACCTGCGAGGCCCTCGGGTGAGGATGAGTAGCCTTTTGCTAAAGGTGCACTAGGCTATTCTGACACTGGTGTCCTCTCAAAAATTCAGTCAACAGACTGGAAAGATGCCACGTCCCCATTACACCACAGTACCTTGGCATGATGTAGGTCAACACCATACATGGAAAGCCTCTTCGCATTTTCTAAGAACTGAGAATCAGCTTGTGCTGGAGATAAGCCCCTAAGAATAAAATAAAATAAAAATAAAAATAAAGTTTTATCTTACTGATGGAAAAAAAAGCAAACATGGCCAAAATGGGGAAAGAGGGGTATGAGCCTGGAGAGTCTGGGGTGGAGGGTGTAACACAGATACATTTGCAGACAAGTAGGAAACGGGTAAGAAGGCTCAACTCTTAACCTCTAGTATTTTTCTGTTAAGCTCCTCTAATATACACCTGTGTATTACAAGGAGGTGCCCCTCCACCCTTACCCTTTTTAATCTTACAAAGTTGCTTTCGATTTTTTTCCACTGGGGTATAAAAGGCCCAGCAATAATGGGTACAGCATAAATTCTTACTCAGTTTCCTTTCACTAAGATTGATCATAACAAAGATCAGAAGTATTGTATTTGATTTTACACCTGTGTTGGTGACACATATCATCACATTCTGTCCACATTAAAATTATGTCCATTGCTATATATTTTCCCAATTAAACCAATTCCAAACTCCTAGAAATCAGGACCAAGTCCCATTAATCTTCATATTGGCATTTCAGCATCTGATATTTTAAATTTGAATTACACACGTCAGTTGATTAGAATTGGGATCAAGTTAATAAAAAGTACTTAAAGTCAAATACTGCATTCATTTTTTACAAAAGAAAAGTCAATGAATGTGGTCTGTCTAAAAACTTCTAATCTCTAAAAGCTCTTTCAAACCATTTTAGTCAAAATTTTCAAAGACTTCAATTTTGAGTATGGGACAAACTATAATTTTGTAGCTAGTTTTTAAAACCTGTACTAAAAAAAGCATTTTGTTTTCACACAGATACAAAAGTTCTCAAAGTGTAATGTGCTATTTAAGCAACTAAGTAATGCTTAGCTAAACCAAAGGTCATCTTCTGTGGATAAGGAAATTACCTGTGTATTTCAGTTATTTCTCCTACGTCCATTAGCCCCTCCCCACCTTTCAGATTCAAAACCTGACGCCTCAACATCTCCGACTTTCTTATGAAGGATGGTAATAAAAACAATTAAAAGGAAGAAGAAATATATAGTAAATGCCAAACAAGTATGTGGGTATGTTTGTTTCGTGTGTGTGTGTGTGTGTGTGTGTGTGTGTGTGTGTGTGTGTATCAAGGAATAGGATTGGGAGTAGAAAGGAGATATCATGGGTGAAGTCAATTTTTCCAATAAATGGAAACATGTAGCCTCATGAGCGTAGTTCCTCAAGTGATAATCATAAAGATGATGAAGAGATATTTCAAGGGCTGCAGGTTGTCTTGATTAGTATTAGGTGACGTTCCAAAAGGAAAAACTGGATAATCCCACAAACTACGCTGAAACGTCTAGCAAGTTCAAGTTCTACAAGAACAGCTATTTACATCTGACATGGCCACTTTCTCTCCAGTCAGCAAGTCAACGGACCTGTGGGTTTTGTGTAGCTCTACCACCTTTTCCTCCAGCTCCTTCGTCTGTATGGGGGCAAACTGGAAGTCACTGAGGTCATGACTGGCATGCTCTTCCGGGTCATAGTCTCCCAGCTCAGCCTGCAGTGTGTAAGATCCCAGGAGGGCATGGGTCACGAAGGAGCAGGGCAGGCGGCCAGAGGCAATGTCCTGCCGGAGTTGAAGGCACAGGAAGTATCTGTGAGGAACAGGGGAGAACAGGGCCGGGGAACAATTAGTTAAGATCACAGCACTCATAATCCTTGAGTTCTACTATTCCTTTTTGAAAACAAATATACAATAGAGGCACTCTTCATATTCCCGGCAAAAAGCGTCTTCTGCAATAAGGCGCCCACCTTGCTCCTTGGACCTCTAACTCTGCAGCTTATTTACAGGAACTGAGTCTAGCTAGACAGCAAAGTAATAGGTCATTCCGAACTGCTATCCCAGTAACAGCATATTACGACTAGTACAATAAAGAGTTTTGTGACTGAAGGTAAAAATTCCAACCACTGAAGACTGTCTCCTTGGATCTCAAACTAATCAAAATTAGCATGACCTTCAAAAGTTGTAAAGATTAATGAAATTTTAAAAATAGCTTCAGCTCTTAAGCTTTTGCAAGAAAAGCTAATAAGGTTGTCCCCTTCTATCCTTTCTACCATTTTCATACTATTGGGTTGTCGGAAAAGTCATGACGTATTTTTCTATGCTTTTAAAAGGTCATTTATTTATATAAAGAAGATCAATCAATGATATATTTCCCGTTTTGTTCGATAACCTTTTGCCATCTTTCAGTGAGCTTCATAATTCCTCGTTCATAGAAGGACCTGTCTTTATTTGCAAAAAACTGAACAAGGTGCTGATTTACAGCCTCATCTGAATTGAACGTTATACCACGCAAGGAGTTTTGAAGAGAGTGAAACAAGTGGAAGTCTGATGGTGCAAGGTCAGGCGAGTACGGTGGGTGTGGCAACACATCCCATCCAAGCTCCAATAATTTTTGACGGGTCATCAAACTTGTGTGTGGTCTCGCGTTGTCGCGATGGAACACAACTCCTTTACAATTAACAAGCTCTGGACGTTTCTGGATGGTGGATTTGTTCAAACTGTCAAATTGCCGACAGTACACATTTGAATTGTTTGGTTCCTTGGTAGGAGCTCGAAAAACATGACACCTTTAAAATCTCACCACACTGAGAGCACAACCTTCCTCTGATGAATGTCTGCTTTCGATGTCAATTGAGGCGAATCATCATGTCGGGACCAAGACCGTTTGCACACCACATTGTTGTAAACAATCCATTTCTCATCACCAGTATCAGTCACTTCAATAAAGGATTGTTTTCCTCATGTTTAATGAGCATATTGCAGATGTTTATACGCGCCGTCAAATGAACTTCTTTGAGTTTATGCGGAACCCAAATATCAAACTTGCTTACGTATCCCAGCTTCTTCAGGTGGTCGCTTGAATGATGGATGTTCAATGTTTCTGCAATCTCTCATGTCGTGTAATGTGGGTCTGACTCGATCAATGCCTTCATTTTGTGGTCATCAACCTCGGTGGGACTCCCTGACCAAGGGGCGTCACTGAGATTAAAATCACCAGCACAGAATTTTGTGAACCATCATTGACACTGACGTTCTTGTAGAGCACTGTCACTGTAAATTTATGCAACTTTTTCACAAGCTTAACGCGCATTCTTTCCTTTATAAAAGTAAAACAGTAAAATATGGCAAAAATGCACAGTTTGGTCTTCCATCTTCAACTTGTTGTAAAATCTCCAATCCTCAACCAAATTGTTCAATTTTTTTTTTAGAATGAAGCTAGAACTGTCAGCTGTCAAATGACATTGCAATAACATAGATGCAAATGACTCCAGTACTTCCAAAAATGAACTAGTGTCTTCTGTGGCAAACATGCATCATGACTTTTTCAAAACCCAAAATTTCTTCTTTTCGTGACACATCTTTAACAACAATTATAAGTTAATCTCTACTCCGAAGCCTTTACTTCCCCCACTGACTCCATCTAAAGAGTTATTATTGTTATAATAATTATTAGTCAACGTTCCAAGTAGTTTACTACACAGTTATAACAGACCCTGTTTTTTTACTAAATAACATGAAGAAACATGTTATTTATATTCTGTGAGGATTTTTGGGGGGCCCCCATCAAATTCTTTTGGTGACATTTTAAAACCTGATTGCTACTCTCATATTTAACCCCTTGCTAAGATTGCCATTGACCGCTCCAAACTAAATGGCAGTGCTTATTTGTAAGAGACTGACACTCCTACTGGCAGCCAGCCCCCTTCTTCCTGTATACACTTCCGTCTCTCATGGGTTTCAGGGCTCCGTCTTCCTCTTGCCCTCGACCCAACACATTCAGACAGGCGTGTTGCCTCTGGGTCAGAGAGCAGGTCCCAGCACATGGTGTCAGCCCTCATGTAGTTCAATTAGACAAGACTACTGCACAAATCTGTCAGGCAGGACACCGACTGTTTAGTATCATAATAGTCCCGTAGTTAGCAAAGTACTAGCCACATGGCAAGAGCTCAGTGATTATCTGAGAATGAAAGTCATCTCACTATCACTACAGTCAGTGTTTTTATGCATTGCAGGAGCTCTCTTTCTAAGGAAGCTTATGGTTCCTTGACCTGCAGAACAGAATGAGTATAACTGTGCTTATTTTGGAAAACTAAATTTTAAATTATGATTCAGGTTTTCCTCAAATTCTCTAAGACTAATTAAGAATAATGCTAATTCTTCACATTGAATCACATTTTGAAGGCCTAACCACAAAGATTCCATCTAATACTAAAATCTTGTTCCTCCTTTTTATATTATTGTCTCTAGTTTTCCTATTGGTCCTTTCCGCTGTTTTCAAAGCACTTCCAACAAAAAAACAAAAAAAAAGCAAAACTGCAACAGCTTCCTAAATTTCCCATGTCCATGCATTCTTCAAATATTATTCTGAATAATGTCTTGCCCTCCTCAAAAGCCTACCCGCACCTTCGAAATGTTCACTCTGGTCGTGGTGAAGATTTCAGTCACGATAAGCAGGAGACCAGCCTACACGCACAGGCAGGCGGCTGGTCTCAGTCTGCAGTGCCACGGCTGTTAGCTCACTGGACGACGTCATCCCTCCCGCTCCACACAGGGAGACTGCTCAAGCCCCATCGGAAAGCAAAACCAAAGCACTTACGGATGCTACAAATTGCAATCTCCAAGGATTACCAGCCTCTAAATTACAGCAAGTGAGAGGGGATGCACAAAGAGGGCGCTGGGCCCCAAAGCCCAGTTGCTGCGTTGCTCAAAGGCACCCCTGCAGGGAGGCTCTGCAGTGCCTCTGCCCACCACCCCGTCAAGTTTTACGCTCCAAGCAGCTCACTGTCATTTATTATCTACTAGATGAAGCTAATTCCAGTCACAACTTAATCAGTATCAGTATTCCCTATTCCACAACGAGTATAATTCTAAGGGGGAAACAAAGGCCTGTCATTTAGCCAGTCTTGGAAGGAAATGTGCATCATTCCTATTTCAACCACTCTTTGAAGCACCTATGTAACCTGATGTCTGATGACAATACTGGCCTAGCGGAAAGCATCACGGCCCAGGGAGCACAGGAGTCCAAGCAGAATGTGCCACTACACTCTCCAGTTTTCTAAAAGTATATGTATGGAACACAGTTTTTCTTGGCTATGTAAATAACCTTTTAAAAATATATACGAATCACCCTGTAGACCTACTCTTATCTAAGCTAAAAAGTCCTACTGCTGGTGCCCAGTGTAATAGGGCAAGGATAAGATATCAGGCTCTTGTGGGGTCAGAATGTTCCTTGGTTACCATTCAAATACTCAGTCACTCTCAGAATCACAGAATGTCCTCTTGCTCCTAAACTGAATCTTTCATTTGTAATTTAAGCACATGTTTGTATATCCCAGATAATCTCAGAGGAGACGAAATGAAAACTATTGATTCTTACATAAGAAAACCTACCTTAACAGTTTTCTTTTCTTTTGCAGGGGACGGGGGGCAACAACAACAAAAAAATCACAGTTCAACTGACTTTTTAAAATAATTTTATTTTTTTACCCTTAGGTTACCTTTGTAATATGAGAGTAGTACACATGCAAACGTGGGGTGTGTAATAAAAACCATCCTAGCATTAAAATCTGAAACATTAAACATCAATGATTTTTGAAAGTATAACATAGGAAACAAAGTTGCCAGCAATATTTTTTAAAATATTCCATTACTCAAATATAAGGGGAGAAATTAAAAGTGAATACAATTTTTGAAACTGGCAACATTTCAAACTATTTTGGAATATGCACTTCCAAGGAAATTTCTAAAACTCAACTTAAGAAAAAATGTTTTGGTGTTAATCCTGAAATTACCACCATTCTCTCAGGGCACAGGGATAAATGAGAGCTGTAAGTAAAGGTTCATTTCTCATGTAAATATAAAGTACCTGGTGATGTCCTCAGTCAATTGAGACGGATCAGGAGGATAAAACTTCACATTAAAGATGAACAGCCAGGGAAGATCTGTAATTATTACATATAATGGTTATTTATGCAACCAACAGGATAACCATTTATTTTGATAAAGCTTAAAACTCAATGCTCAAACAATATAGACTACTCCTATAACTATAAATCAGTTTAGAGAATTCCTTTATTAATTTAAAGAAAGTATTTACAAAACAAAATAAAATGAAAATAAAATAAAAAATCAATTATATAAATAACCCACCATTACAGAATAATACATTCACTTTTTTTATAAATGTGTACTGGTACTTCAACAAATGTTTTGTATGGTGATCTATTATGCAAAAATTTTAATGTGACCTCCATGTAATACTTCTGAGATAAGATTTGTTTTAACCACAGAAATCTCCAGATGCCAAATATTCTCCACTCTTTAAAAAAAAAAAAAATTTAGGCTTTCTACATTGTTGGGAGAAGGCAGGTAATGATCAAGTAAGTGATCACTACAGCTATTCAGGAAGGATTAATGGGCTATTTGAAGGAAATGTTAAAAGATATCCCAAAGAAAGAAGAGGGTGGCAAAATGTCACAATACTTTCATACAATAAAATTATTTCCCAGGCTTTATAAAGTAGGTATAAGTATATGCATATATAGCACACATTTTGCTGTACTATGTCACAAAGAATGAATATATCAAACAATCATGTCATAAATCACTTATTAAAAGTTAAAACATTTATTTATCTATTTACATATCATCATTAACTGATATATCATGCTTTCGATGGCTTTAAAAACAATAGAAATACACAGGTCTGGAGTGAGGGCAGGTATTCTTTTCCTAAAGAGATTCAAATAATTCCAATGGCCTGAATTTAGAGTTGTGCTCAAAGTTCGCAGTATTGCTGATTTGTGTGTGTGTGTGTGTGTGTGTGTGTGTCTGTGTGTGTGTATTTCATTTCTGAAGGCCTTGCAACTGCTTTAATTTATAGACTTGAAGAAAAATTTCTTGAATCCCATTCTCTAGTTTAATGTGTCATTCTGTCCTTTTCTCACCATCAGCACACTAACTTTTCTCTCACGCAAAAGTCAATGAAAAGTTACTGAATGCCTACTGTGAACACACAAGCACTCTGCTGGATGTGGGTTCAATACATCACCATTCTACCAATAAAGTCAATCCTGCTGAGTTTAAGAAACAGGTTTCAGGTCTGCTTTACATGATTAAGGCATCAGAAAGGGATACAGGGCTTTCCTGAATGCTGAGACATGGAGTTTCTTGGTCTGTAGCACCATCCTGGCTTGATGTGTATGCACTTGTTCGAGGTGACAACTAACCCATAATTAAGTGAAGTCATCACAGGGTTATCATTTCATAATGGATCCTTATTTATCTATTTTTAGGTATTAATACTAGCAAATGTTTGCCTGGACATGACTATGGGGATAAGATTCTAATAAAACCCATATTTTAGGATATATTTCCAATTCTAATGTTGATAAAATATACCAATACTGCTAAATTTTTTTATTTAATTACATATTATTACCATAATTTTTACCTATATCAATATCATATAGCTATGGGTTGTTTATATATTAATAACAGGCAAGCATTAGATATATAGTCTTATATAGTCTCATTTGTGTACATTTCAGAAAACAAAGATTTTAAGGCAAATTTTACACAGGAACTGATAAGTTGTCAGTTGTTCAAAGTAACTAAAAAAGGTAATTTTTACCTTTGCTAACTGCCTATTAACTAACAATAAATTATAGCAGAGGCTTGGCTCTGCTATAATTAATATAATATAAAAGCAGTTCTTTTGTCCATTTTAACACAAGCAGAAAGAAAGAGGTAAACTATAGCAGGAAAACTTCATTTCTTCAGCCTACTTTCACGATCAGGATGATAAGAGGTTACATTTAGAGAATTCACTCCAAAAGTCTGGAAAAGTCAAATCCTATTTGGTACTGTTATTCCTCTTGCCAAACCACAAGGGCAAAAGTCCTGAAATCACTCTAAAAAACTTCACAAATAATCAAAATATAAGACTGTGATTCATAATCAGTAAAAGTCTTGCCTTCCAAAAGTTAGGAAATCTCTGTGACTCTGAAATGAGTGGCACACAAAAATAATCAAACAAAAGTCAAAACAAAACCATTGGAAACAACTCAACGGAGCATCAATCATGTTTCAGAGGTTATCCTGTTCACTCTTGTTTGGGTCACTTGGCAGGTCTGGTTTTCGAGAAAGTGAAAGAATCAAGCATCTGGCCTTTCTGAATTTGTGTACTTTGCAGAGCATGTAATGACTATAGAAGGAACAAAGCAAAAGTTCCAAAGGTTTTGGTACTGTTTCTTCCTTGATGTCAGCATAATGTATCTGTGTCTAATTACTCCTTTTCTCCCCCCACTCATTTACATCACGAGACAAACATACGAGATGCAACACCATGATAATCAATGCAGGGAGAAAGGGAAGAGCGGGTGTGAAGATGAAGGCAAGGAATGCTGGAAAGCCGGGGACAATAGTCGAAAGATAGGGTGACAACCACCCGCGTTCGCCCAGGACTGCTCCAGTTTTAGCAGTAAAAGTCCCACATCCTGAAAAACCCCTCAGTTCCTCAGTCCTGGGCAAGTCAGGAAGGTAGCTCTCATCAAAGATGTAAAGAAAGGAAAATAAATTGGAGTCTACAAGGAGAGAAAGTAGGAAAAGTAACACACACACACACACACTTTCTCTCTCTCTCTCTCTCTCTCTCTCTCTCTCTCTCTCTCTCTCTCTCAGAATAAAAAAGGAGAGAAGGAAAAAAAAAACCTACCAAAAAGATTAATAATTTGAGAAAGACAGAAAAATAAATGAAAACTCTCAAGAACCTAAGATGAGACAGAAGGCAGATGGAAAGGAACAGAAGGGACAGTGCAGATCCAGTCCAGGGTTTTGACGTTAGGAATAGTAAGGAAGGTGGTGAAACCAACAGCACAAGGGCGGTCTGCAGCTGGCACTCAGAACCATGGCTTCTTCCCGGACAGCTCAGGGTTGGTAAGAAATGTATTCTCCTGTCTAAAATCCAGCTGTTAGCGGCTCCCTAACTTTTCTGCTTCGCTCAATCACATACCCTGAAGTCAATTAAATAACCAGATCCCCTATGAGAGATTTTTCTGTTGTGATTGTTTCTTGGAACAGATGTCAATCTTATAGCCAGTCACAGGCAGAGGCAGAGCTTACAGAGGGAACAGAAGCTGGTTAGGGTGAGATGCTTCCAGTCACTTTGGGAGTCTACATTGAGAACAAATGGGAAAATGCAAGAAAGGGCGAAGCAGCACTAATGACCTTGGACTGTGGAACGAAGGCGTAGAGAAGGTAATGGCGGCAGGGGGCTGAAAAGACTGTTCTGCGCGCTTTTCTCCCCTGCAGTCCTCACTCCAGGACATCTACAAACAGTGTGTCTAGAAGACCCAGAGGCCAGAGATATGCTTAACCAAACTAATTACACGCTTCCAAAATGAAGTAGACAAAGTAATCAATAGTAACAGGTTTACCTAGAGTGAAAGTTACAGAAAAGCAGCTTCTCATTCTTTTCCCCAGAGAAAAAGGTCAGCTATACTTCACAATGGCAGGAGGCACCGTGGGGAACTTAGTACTGTGAGTCTAGACCTCTTGACCAGTAGAGGAGTCCCTAAGCTATGTGCAAGATCGTTAGGATTCCACAAAAATATCATCAGGATCCTTAACTTACTATACCACAAAAATGCAAAATACAGCTGATCGTTCTATCACTATCTCTGTATTCTAGTTTACATTCCCATGAATTTTATTAATGATAGATGTAAAGATTAATTTAATAACTTCAAAGCATGATTATTTAAATACTTACTTCGCAGTTGTCTCTTTATTTCTTTTGCAGGATCTAGCCAGTTCTGCAGGGGGAGGGGGAAAAAAGACCAATTAACCCATCAGAAATATTCCAGAGTCCAAAATGGAACAGTTTCTAGTTCACACACTTATTTAAGTATAAACATATTTTAATGAAGTCCTATTAGAAGTAGCTTTCACCTATTAGCATTCCACTGGACTAATGATTGATTTGTTTTTAAATGTGTGCATGTTATAAATAAAATATTAAAACACTTTTAAGATAGGTCTCTTGGGTCTCATTTTTCTGGGATCTGAAATCAAACATCCATCCAAATTATGAGACATAATATATCCACATATAGTCTTCATTCTATAGTAGAAATACCAATAAACAGTCCCTGTAGACACTGAAGTGAGAGCTCAGTCAAGGACAATAATTGGCTCCAACTCATGAAGGATAAAATGTGAATCAGAAACCACTGGCTATTAAAAGTATACATACTCCAATAAAACACAATTATCTCAACTCTTAAAGCCAATTCCTCCTCCTCAAACTTTGTTTGTCCCTGCAACTGTACAATGCTTTGGAAAAGTGCTGTCAGGATGCAGCCAAAATTTTCCTTCCTAGTCTTCATATAACACCCTGTTTAAACTTCATGAGGAATTTCCTTTCACTTTCCCTGTATCTCTTCCCTTTGAGAAAGTTAACATAAAAAGATTTGAGGAACCACTATAATATCCCAAAGCAAAAACAAACAAACAAACAAACCTTGAACTAATAGATTCAAACTACCTAAGGACATTAAATATTTGTCTTTCAAAGCTGTAAGCAAAGGACCCATCCAAACACACACACACACACACACACACACACACACACACACACACACACACTTTTTTATACTTATCTCACTATATCCTCAAGTCATTAGAGTTCATCTTACTTTATCTTCACTAACACAGGAGAACAAGTACATTTTTTGAGATATAATAAACTGATTCAAATCATTGGCTTTACGATAAATTTCATTCATTTTAAAAGTACCCCAAATATGTATTATACCATCAGTACATAAAGAGAATTTTATTCAGATATACAAAGTAAACAATTAAAATGTTTGTTATGTAGAAGATAATAACCTACTGTCTTAGCAGGATACTGAATTAGTACAACACAACCTTAACTTACAGTATTAAAAAGTAGTAACAACAGGATGCTTTGAAAGCAGAACTGCCCAGACCCCTGAGGGTTTTACCACCCAGGTCACAGATTGCACTCAGGTCAGCAAGGATCCAAGGTGTGCATGGCTCTGTTCTGACACTGGGTATATTTAAACCTCTCAATAAAGAACCACCAGAGCTTCGTCTAGTTTCATATTACTGGTGTTCCAGCTGCATGGCTCAATGATGTGATGAGCCAGGGGAACCTTCCAATGGTACCTCCAGTGTGACGCTAGGGAGCAGCTCTAATTCTGCCCTTAGAAAAGGGCCTGGCATTCCACTTCCTTGCCCTGCAGCTGCTGTCCCACACAACAGCTGGCTCACAAATGGCCAGCTATGAGGAGTGAACAAAAATGAGAAAAACACATCATTCAGTCTCTAGCCCAGACGGGGGAGGGTCAGATGTGTTGTGGCATTCCATCCAAGGAAGTAACAGCCACAGCAAGAAAAGCTGAAGAAGAGACCACTGGTGCCAAACAAAAAAAAGAAAAAGAAAAAATCCCTCTGAACAGTAATACAGAAAAAGACCAGAAGGGAAGAGACTGGTCTTAAAGACCTAGACAGGCCCTTCAAATCTCCAATTTCATCATCATGTGCCAGTTGCTACAGATGACTACTATGCAAGAGCAAAAAAAGACCTCTGTCCTAGGAGGAAGATGGTAGAAGCTACATCATCTTCTGTGACCCCCGAGGAATAACCCAGTATCCCAGCTACTTGGCACCTTCCAGTCTCACCCGAAGCACCAACCCCTTCGTACAAGTTCCCTGACAGTTTCTGCACAGCATAAACTCAATAAGGCTCCACAGACCCAGGAGTGTGAGTGACAAGTTTCTGTGCACCAGCCAATCAAATTCAGACTCGGTGTCATTGTCGGGCTACTTTCCACAACATTGCCTGCCGGCTACAATATTAGAAGACTTCGGTGGCTTCCTTTCTTTATTCCAGACCAGATCCAAAGATGAAGTGGTCATCTACCTGATGTGATCTAACAGCAGCCGCAGGAGTGACTCCTGGTTTTCCCTTTGCTGACCACACTCGCTGCCACACTGTGAGCTCCACTCCCACCAAGGAGTAAGGAGGTCTCCCCTCCCGAGGACAGCTCTGCACAGTCCGGGACAGACTAGGTTACTTGTGTCCTCCACAAAACTTGACAGTTTCAGGCAGCCAGTAAGTACTGATAATACCTCCTGACTAATATCTGCCCATTACTTTCCTCCTCCCTCCAGATGCCACGGTCATCTTTAAAAAACCACAGATCATATTATTTTATTAGATTTATTTTTAATAAATAAAAGCTCAAATTTTATTTTATTTTATTATTTTAGCTCCAATGAGTACTCAGATCATGAGTGGGGTATCATTGTACTGCCTAGGGTCATAAATTCATAAGTGAAAAACAAAATAATGACTTAGTGTGACTTTTAAAAGAAATACAAGTCTATTATCTGCATTAGCAATTACAAATAATAGACATAAAACTCTTTTTAACAAATAAAAATAACTTGTTTTTGACACTTAAGGAGGCGTACTGGGTGGATCAAGAAGCAGACACAGAGACGGAAAAAGTGAATGACAAAAACGCACACGTGCACGCGCCATGATACACTAGGGTGCATCAATCCCATTTTTTAAAGATTTGGCTGCCACGTATGTAGACTTTGCATCCGAAATATATGGACTCAAATTCTGGCTTTCCACCAACTGTGTATGAACTTGAGTTCACTCCTTGGCTTCTTTAAGCCTCAATTCCCTCAAGTGTAAGAGGAGGGGCCATAACGTCTACCTCACAAGGTGGTTCTTTTTAATCAATCATTCATTCAAACGCTTCCTGGAGAGTAGAGTACATATGCAGAGTACTTCACCCAGTGCCTTAAATAGACGGGTCTTTCGCACTGGCAAAATTAAACTGGCCTATCAGCTTTTGGTATATATCCCATCTGCACATCATTTTATATTTCCAAAGGTGATGTGTTACATATATTAAAGAAGTTAATATTTATATGAATATTTCTACCCACATAATGAGACTAATAAATGAGACTCTGGGTTCACAAAATACAGTCACTATATTCATGGGTCAGATGAAATAAAAACCAGACCCCTTTTCCTTATAGAAAACCATCTGATAATATCAGCCCTTTCTACAAAGCTGCCCTGCTGTAGTGAAGGTTCTTCCTGGAAATGAAGACAAGACATAAACAGCACAATCACTTCTCAGGAGAATTACCAGTATGACTAGTCCAAGTACTTCTATGTACAGGAAGGTATCACCCAGCTAAGCTTTTCTAAACGTTGCCTGCTGATAAGGATCCATCTGGCAAGTTTGTTAAAAAGAAAAAACAGATTTAGCCATCGGCCCCTGGAATAGACTGAAACATTGTCCAGGACAGGGCCTGAGAATCTCTATTTTAAGTGACAGCTCCAGGCGATTTGTGATCAGGCAAGACAGGAATTTTCTCAGTGTTTCCCAAACTTTAAGGTATATTCAACAATGCAAAACTACAGTACCAAAGAGCTAAAATCCATGTTGGATTCCAATAAAAGTATCTTGGTTTACTAGAAGTAAAGTGCTTTCCCAGCTACTTAAGAGCAAGAATATTCACTCAATTTGGTATCCTTCTCACCTCCCCCTTCCAATCCCCACCGTGTTCCCAAGTGTGAACTCAGTAAATATTGATCTTCTGAGTGAACATCAGATAAAATAAGAAATTAATAAAATTTACAAGGAATCCTATATCACAGGCTTCCAACAGAAGTAAACTAAAATTACAATGTGATCCTAGATTGTCAGTATTATTAAATCACCTTAGAACATGAACTCAGGAGTCTATGAATTGGTTGGGGAAAGAATCTAACATCCTTACGCTCACTAACCTCTACATGAAATTTAGCATGATCATCAATTATGAATGAATGTAGAACAGTACCTGGTTAGTATCAGCAGTACCTTTAGCTTTGTCACTTAAAGGAATCAAACCTATTTCCATATCGCATTACAGTAGTTGCAGATCTTGAAATATGGTTTATGGTAATCAATATTTTGAAATCACAGTAGGGTTTAGATTAGATACTGATGATTACTTTATCCCAAATTCTTTAATGTTTTGAGAATGTTATTTATTTACTGGCTTCCATTTCAGGCCTGTATACTTTATTATAAGTATACATTTAAAACACTGTTCTGAGAAGTGACCCAGAGAACTCACCAGACTACCAAAGAAACCCATGACAAAAAAAAAAAAAATGGTTTAAAAACCCCTGCCTTAGAAGGTTACAGAAAATTTTAAACTAAGCAGCAAAGCAAACAGCTGTACACATACTTTTCTTTTTTTTACACTAAAGTCCCTCTGCCAGTTTATTTCTCTTAGAGAAGCTCCTTAGTCCTACTCTCTGTCCACTACAAATCTGACGGCAAACAGTCTTCGTTAATCAAGTCCTCTGGCATTTCCCTACAACTGATTTTTCAATACTAATTCTCAGGAAAGTATAAAATGAAGATGATTCTCCATTACCCTCTAACAACAAAAACATCTAAAAAAATACAGAAGCTTGCTTATGAATCATTATATTTATATTCATAAAATGCCAGTGTAGGAAAAAACCTCAGAGGTTTATGGTCCAAATTTCCATACAGAATGGGAATGGCCTGACTCTCACCTAAGTGGCTATGAATATTGGAACATTTTGGGACCATGAACTACTTTGGGTTATTAGGACCCCCTACTCACTAGGTTTTTGTGACTTTCTACACTCCTACAAATCTCTCTGCCGCCTCAAAAGAACATTTCACCCCCTAGATCAATGCTTCGCAAACCTTAGGGGTTTACATGCGTCACCTGA